TGTTTGGGCCATGCAGCTCGCTCTTGACACGTCCCAGAGGGACAACGCTGATCTAGCTAAAACCGGAGACGCCGACGAGATCAAGACCTGATGTGTCACCTACTGTAGAAACGCAAAACGGCGATTCTCAACAAAATTAACAGGGAATCCCTTTCTCTTTAGTTTGTTCGGCTCAGTGGTTCATTGTCTAAATCAGACACTGTTATAATTAAACAATCACGTTGAAGGAGTTTTCTGATGGCACTGCAAGTCGTCTTACGCTTTGTGTTGTTGGGCATTTTCAAAACCAAGCCTCCATGTAATGCAAGTTAACAAATGCCATCTTTTGTTTCAGCAACATGTTGTCACATTGTACACATATACATATGCAAGCACTACATTTGATAATATGCCAATAGTATTTGCAACATATATCTGTATGTAATGTCAACTTTTCTGTGTGACGATTGGTATTTAAATGTATGGAAAAAAAATTTTACTTTTTTTTTATTAAATAGAATTTTGTGCCTTTGAGCACTAAATATGTGGATACCGTTTAAGCATTCAGTATACACATGTTGCAGCAACTTGTTTTTTCTAAAAATGATAATCATGACAATCGCATTTAACACTGTTTTTTTTAAAATGAGTTTATACATGCAAGTACCAGGCAACAAGGTGCTTAGAGCTGCTGGCTTTCTCAGATATTTAATCCTTTAAACCTAGCAATCTTAGGTTATGTTAAATTACTATACATAAACTGAACTTTGTCACATATGCATCCTGCGACAACAATAAGGTATAGAGATGCCAGAGGAAAGTCCAAATCATCTTGCCTTTGGGGATGGAGAAAATGAAGAGGAGGAAAAAAACCAAAGTGATTTCAGAGTTCAGTCCCAGGTGTGGAAATGTTCTGCTGATATAGAACATTTTCTGAAAAATAATTAAGGAAAATGATTTGTCAGTTCTTTCAAAAACATTTTTAAATGGATTTTGAAAGTAAAAAGTCAACTTCAAATTACCCGTATGTAAATTGAAAATACTGCTTTCCTTTTTCCTGACGAAAAAAAAAATCCTTTTAAAAATTTGTAGAACAAAATTTTTGTATTGCAGTGACGTATTCAAATCAAAAAATTACATCATTATCATATCTAATGCTTATATGTATTAGTCATAGCAAAGTCATAGCTCTATGTATACAATTTTCTGGAAGATTGGGACTTTTCCTAACGCAAGATTGTGAAATAAAGTAATCCATGCGCCTAAACTAATGCCAAAAATGGAGGCGGCGGTGAAGACACCTGGCAGGTAGATCAGACAATGCTGCTTCACCACTGATATCATGGTAGAGATATGTTGTCAATAGTCAAATTAATGTCCTTGTTTTCATTTGCATTTGGCTGTAAACGTTATGTTACCAGACCAAAAATATATATTTCCTTAACACCCCCATGAGTTCACATGAACTGGTTTGTTCCTGTGTTAGCGCACTTATTGGCGTGTTCAGTAGCAGTCAAAGCCAAAGCGATAGCCATGCGGCTTAGAAAAATATATTTATTAGTGATGGGTAAATGAGGCGCCATGAAGCGTTTCCACCCAAAGCAAAACTGTGTCAATACTGTGTCACTGAATACTGACACCTGCTGGACGTTAAAAATCCCTGCAGGCAACGTGGTTGACAGACCACAATAAATAATGTGAACAAGTGAAATTTAAGTGAACATGTTTGGTATGAGGAGGTTTCCAAACATGTTCTTGGTTTATTTTTCACAAGTTTTCAAAAAAAAAATGTTTCCCAACATTTTGAAATTTTGTCTGTTACACTTTTTTGACACATCTTCTGCTGTAGAAAAAAAATGAAGTAAGCAATACTAATATTAATATGAAATAATTTATAAAAAGCAACTGAGTAATTTGTAGAATGGCTGTATATGTGAGTTTATCCTTGGTGCATCTGGGATTCATTCTGATGCCTGTAATGCCTCAGCATTGAGGAGGTGGATTTATGCTATTATATTATATATATTAAGACAGTTCTGTCAAACATATGCAACACATAACCTGCAGAACATAATATGAACGTGAACTAAGAGTCAATTTCAGCTGAATTTGGATTCAGATAGATCAAGCAGAAACTGAAAAAAAAGAGAATGAAACGGCAACAAAGTGAGAACCAACACCTTATTGTCTGATGTGAGACCAAAATGGCCCCAAACTACAAAACCTTTCATTTGCTTCGAGGCTCCATGTAGACGCTGTACTTTAAAAGATCACAAATTATTTTGGCAAATGCATCCTGTTGACAAATTCGCTTCCTTACAAACACAGTTTGGTGGCAGTGTCATTGTGAAACAGTTCCTGTATCGGTTACATGACTTGCTGAACGCAATACGCGCACCGACACTGGGCTTTGTCTAAGGGCCTTATGCATGTGCAGACACATCAAACCCATCAGACCCATCACTAGTTGCTGGTGACCCGATCCTGGTCCTGGCTGTTAAGGCGTTCAGGTAGGTAGAGCGGGAATCTGCTCTTGCTTCAGAAAGAAAAATGAATGCATATTATTGCTTTCTAGTTTGAACCTGTTATGAAATGAGACATACCAATTATGTTACACAAGAGTAGCTAACCTGGAATAAACTTGTCCAAACAGCAGTGAAATACTCGAAATGTTGTTGAACCTAATAGTTATTGCAGAAGCAAACAAAGATGGCCTCCGCCAGGTGGCAGCAGTCTGGCCGTTGGACAGATGGGGGTGTGGGGGTTAAGAGAGGTCGCTTCACACTTTCAACCTCGGGTAAAATCCTGCCTCTTTTTAGGTCACCTAAACCTCCCAGTTTAAGATAACAGTGATCTTCTCTCCCTATGTCCTCCTACATCAGAAAGTATTCAACTCCTTCTTTGTTATTTGGCATTGGTTAAACCCGGCCTCTGTTCCTGAGGCAGCTGCTTCGTTTTGGCCCTTTGAAGCAGGTCAAGGACCCCTCATCCCACTCAAAAATTCAGGAGGACAGTGCTTGCATAAAAGCAGGATATAGACGATTCACATCTGTGGTACAACCAACAGCCAGCCTCCGCATGAAATGCCAAATATCCAGAAGGATGTGGACATCTGGCCACTCTCCAAACATGGCCTGCAGCTTGTTGAGGCCCTCACTTACACAGCAGGCACAGTCCACATACAGCACCTTGGGAGGTACAGCCTCAGCCTGGCGGTACCACTCCATGAGTCCTTCAGCCATTTTGTCCAGTCCCGGAAGCTGGTGGACAGTCAGTACTGTCAATATTTGGCCCAGCTCATTGCTCACAGGTGAAATCCACAGAGCCGTTACTGTAGCCAGCCAGTTTTTTAGTGATCTACAATCGAAGATGTGAAATTAATTTATCCAGTTTGTCTTGTCTATAAAGACTCTGTGTGGCGTGCCTATACAGAAAACACTATTTTTTTACAAGTTAAGATTAACGTCCATATTCTTAATAAGTATGATCAATTTGTGAGATGTAAATTAACTTAATCACGACCAGCCTTGCGTGCTAAGCGACAGGGTGGGCCATCCTAGACTTCAGCACTTTGAAGTCATTGCAGCACGGTCTCTGTGGCGCAATCGGTTAGCGCGTTCGGCTGTTAACCGAAAGGTTGGTGGTTCGAGCCCACCCAGGGACGGAGTCTTTTCTTGTTGTCTCTGGTCAATATGTTTTTCATGAAAACCTATCTTTGTTAGGTACTTTACAACGGCATCAGTGTTTATGAGCACTCATACTTTTCATTCCTATTTGGGAAACTATTTGATTAAACATAAGGTTTAATGCAAATTTAAACTTACCTAAGAAAGGGACTTGCACTTTGCAATTCTAGCAGACGCAGAATATGGCATGAGCCAAAATAGTAATCGGCAGGTCAGCGCGTCTCTGGGCTGAGCGGGTCTCAAACCGTCTCATAATGGACCGCCAAATCACTACACAAACCAACTCTGCTGCTCAGCCACAGGGTCGGGGCTGGACGGATAACGGCGGAATGTCACACAGTTCTGCCAGAGCACGTCTCTGTGGCGCAATCGGTTAGCGCGTTCGGCTGTTAACCGAAAGGTTGGTGGTTCGAGCCCACCCAGGGACGGCATACCTTTAGCTTTTTCCAACAATTATTTTTTTTAAATCTATATATACTTTTAGCACAAAGAAAGAACTGAAAAGCGTGGAGACGAAATCAGTGAAGATTGTAAAATAAGCCATAAACAAAATGTCTAAATAAAAAAAGTTCCCAGAACAAACACATCACAGCACAGCACGAGTCTCCTTTAAACGTATTTTAAACCTCGCGTGCGAGGACATTTCCACAGCCCGGCTAGCTCAGTCGGTAGAGCATGAGACTCTTAATCTCAGGGTCGTGGGTTCGAGCCCCACGTTGGGCGCAAATTTTTTTTGGGGTGTACAATCTCATGAAAGATCAAATGTAGGAAGATATATTTGAAAATACGATAAAAAAAATGTTGCAAAGTAAGAAAATATTTTTTTTTAAAACAGCTCAGAGAATTATTTGTCAAGAACACTTTGGGATCAACCAAACTGAGATCTTACAACGCGTGGGTATCAACTCGTGGGTAACATGGATGATTAATTTGAATGTACAATGGAAATCATATGAAACAGTAGCATCCAACACAACTTTATAGAATATACCATGTTTTATTACAGCGCTTCACTTCACTTCAAATACAAAATATACAAATACATGTTATATAAATAACACTAAAAGTAAACAAGTAATTTAAAAAATGAACAGAAATTATTGAACATTATTGTTTAATTGGGATGCACCTGCACCTTCAAGCAGAACGACACAAAAAAACCCAAAAAAAAAAAACATTAGAAATGTTATGCACACGAAGCACCGCCAGGTGGCGCTTTGGTCCAACACCCCTTGGGCTCACTGAAAGCTCACCGAGAGGAGATCAGCTCCTGTTATAAACCTATTCATCAGCTGATCGAGGAGCTTTAATAATGCAGCGCGGTGGTTCAGGTTACGGCTGCAGCTGTGAACATACATGTTAATAACCAATAACCAGTAAGTCAAAAGACTGCAGAGAGGGTGGAAGACGAGGGGGGCGTGTCCACGCCCCCATGTGATCGGAAATTACCCTTGCAGAGAGAGACAAAGTGCCAAAACAAGGGAAGCGGAGAGTTTGAGCGGGTCGCCCCGGATTGAAGGAGCTGCTGCGTTTACTCAGCGACGCTTCACTTCGGTTTCTTTCTGTTCACCACAATCAAACCCAGCAAGCCACCTTTATAGCGAGCTGAGGTAAGTTATGTGTTGTTGTTTTTTTTCCACAGAAAGAGACAAAGGTGAAAATGTTTGTTTTCCACACAGCGACTTTTTTTATGTAAAACTGAGCGCTTTTGTGGAACAATTAGCGTAAATCCCGCGTTAGCTAGCGCTAACCTGAAAGTTAGTCTGCAGTGTTAAGTTCTGGGTGTTATTTCCAGCAGCTCCGTGTTTTGCAGTAGTACACCGGTTATTCCTGTGGTGCACCGCATGCTGCATTAATCCACAGGAGAGGGGCTCAACCACAGTAATGCTGTGATATAATATGTTGTTTTTGACTGACCACAGCTGGAGGGGAACTGCACTTTTATTAAGGCTAAAATAATTCACATTACCTGGTCTTTTACATGACAACAACACATGTAATAAATACTGTTACTACATGCTGGTAAAGTGTCTGTTGATGATGTTTTATTATTTAAGGGAGTTTCTATTTAAAGCTATGTATCTTACCTAGATTTTCCATCAGATAGGTTTCTGTCCCTGCCACTGTTTACCTGTGTAAGTGATGACAGAGGATATTGCTACCATACACAATGCCAGGCTCGGAGCAGGAAACGAGCACCTGTTGCTTGCTGTCTCTGTGTCATCTAAAATTTTATTGCCTGCTCTCAGGCTCAGAGGTGGGAGAGAGGGGGAGGGCCGACATTTACAAAACCACGGCTTGGTTTTAACTGTGATCTCCATGCAACCAACAGGAATCTAGAATCTTTTTGCTCTGAGCACAAAATGCATTCAACATAAGGTGCGTGTTTTGCAGAACAGCACCGGTCATGACCAAGGCGGGCCGCAGTGGACTGGAACTGCGGTTGCATTTTAGCCAGGTGTTTTGGTGCAGAGCGTCCAGGTGCAGTGGCTCAAAATGGTGCAAAGAAGAAGCTCTAACTGCCAATTTATGGTAAAAAAAAAAAAAAAGAATAAATAAATAAATAAATAAATGTGTGGATATACACTTTATAAGACACCTTTCAGATATTTCTACAATTTAGTCAAATTGCGCATTAACTAGATAATTTTAGGCTGATTTTACGTCTACATTCCATGTGAATTCTTTACTACAGTGAACTGATCCGCTTTGATTGGAGCATACAGGTGTGATATGTTAGATTTACGCTTCCATGCTAACCATGTTTTGTAACTGCTTGATTTGCATTTTAAAGAAATTACATCAATATGTACTTTGTAATTCTTAAAGGTTTCCAAAGTAAACCTTCACCGATGTGACACTGATGACCTGAAGTATTTATTTTAACATCTGTAAGATACTTTTAAGGGCAATATAGACTTTTATCGCAATATTTGTGGCACCAGAGTGATAATGATAAAAATGACGATAATTGGGTTTTTGGGTAACAAAGTATCTGCACTTAATTGTACTTTTGAAATTACTGATATTTATTGATGCTGTCACAGAACATTGGAGAAAATAGTATAAATTCAATGCCACTCTCAAAGTACTTATAGTGATAAGAAAACTATCGCGATAAATCATCAACGATACAATAAATGCTCTCCCCTAGCTGCTTATTAGCTCCCATTTCTGCTCCCAATGCTCGAGGCGCGCACATCTGAATCCCACCAGTGTCACTCTAATCACAGTGACACATTTAGGTGCTTAAAACAGCACTGATATATTTGCACTGCTTAAAAGTAGATCGTCCCCTGGATCCGCGGCGCTCTCGCAGGATGCGAAGCTGGAGCTTCTCGTGCGCCGTCGTGTTGTTCCTCACTCTGCAGGCTTTCTTCTGGCGGGTCTTGATCTTCGACCTTGGCTGACCTTCAAGAAGGAAAGGCAAACCGCACGTGATTCTTCTCGTCCCTGCTCTCGCGGATGCCTGCGGTTCCGGCGAGAAAATATGTCAAGCCAGTCACTGATCTTATCACACGGACTGTCTGTTCTTTATTTGGCTGAACGTTTGTTAATTAACCAGAGTAACTACATGTTGTCTTTGTTCACTTTGTCGAAACTGAGATCTGGCATCATGACAAAGTGAGAGAAACTTTGATCTCTGGGCTTTTTTTTTTAGACGATTTAGTTAATATCTTAATAGATTGGAACGTCACCGAGCATAAAATTCATTGAAAGACTTTTAAGTCCCAGAGTCAGGAAAATAGAGTGCCGCGGTTTTTGCGTGACATAAACGCAACTCCACAGTTGAAGACGTCGAAGCTGGGTTAAAACATCCTGTTCAGTCTCTCACCGTCTTTAAAAAGCACCTGCTACGCTTAATCACAGTTGTCTTCACTGAAGGTGGGTTGTGTCATTGTGATGGAGTCGGTCTTGTGACGCAACCGGTGACTTCACCACCAAGCCAGTCAGTGACCGGCAGGCTAATGACGCGTCTTCAGCCACGCTTGGAAGCCCAACGGTTCAGACGACTTAAAGGCAGCTATCAAAACAACCTCAGCTTTCACGAGACCCCAACAGAACCTCAATGCCGTGCCGCACGGACGCAGTAATTCGGTCGAAAGGAGCCACCACCGAGTGTTGTGTGCATGGTACTTGTTCTGGTCTGATGTTCAAATGTTCAGAGAAACTGACTTTTGAATTCTCATTCGCTTGAAGCAATTGATTTCAAAATGAACTGAAATTGATTGCCGTGTGAATAATGAATGTCACGAGGTTGACTTTTTGAACCTACTTACTGATGTGAACTTAATGGTAATGTGACTTACTGAGATGCCTGTGAATGGTAAACTGTGTTGGTTTGACCGTATAAGTGAGTTAAATAAACCGCTAGCCTAAATTCAGTTTCAATAAAAGCCCTGCCTTTCAAACTTGGCAACAACTTGTGAGCTTTTCACAAAGCATCGTTTGGCATGTTTTCCAACTAATAGCATTAGTCGTTGGCCTCAGAACTATGGGGCACATTTTGCTGTTTCCTTTTTTTGTTCCCTTAAAGCTCACTTTATCCCCTGCAGTTGCCTCCTCCTAAAAAAGGTTAGGAGGTTTTGTTACAATGTCGCCAGACTAATTTAGACGTGCAGCGCATTCACCTGGCTTTTAATAACAGGTCAGCTCACCCTGCAGGAGAAGCGTGTCAAGCGTGCATTGGTAAATGTTGCACAACAACAGCTCTTCTTGTTCTTCCTTCTGCCAGCTCTGTGTTTATGTTTTCCCTTCCATTTTAGATTTCGCTTTGAGCTTTCCGAAGGTCGACGATGCGTATATCCTTCAGAACATAAGATGCTATAAGCATTCTCCATCTGCACAAAGCCCACCAACTGCGGCGTCAGCTCCTACGCCGCTAAGCCTCTTAGACGGTTTTGTTGTTTTCCTTTAATTGAAGCGTCTGTCTGGAGTCCGTGGTGCTCTGGGCTCCACTCGCATGACCCCGCTGATCTCTCTGCTGAACTTCTCATAGATATCGAGTTGTGCCAAAAACCTCTACATCCTCTTTTTGATCCCTCGTGTTCGCCGGTTTACCTTTTCCCTTCTCTTCTAGCACATATCGCCTGATCTAATAATTTCCACTTGTTCCCAGCTTAACGACCTCTTCTGTTTGTTTTGCCCGAAGCTTCTCTCTCTCATTGCATCCTAACCTGGTTTTGCAGGGTTGTTCTGGGGTCAGACTGCTGAAATGACAAAGGTGTGACAGCGGACATCCAAGAGTCTTCCTGCTGGCCCGAATCGAGTGACATGGCTGCTGCAAAAAAGAGTGAGTTTGGGTTATTTTGTTTACTCTTCTCAAATACAATCCACCAGCTTTTTCCCGGTTGACGTTTGCTGCGCACGTTCACTCGCACGAACCAGAAAAACCTATATAATTTGCAGACGAGGCCGACAATAAATCAGATCAAACTTTTCTTCTCTTTTAGGTGAGTTGGGATTTAATCACTAATGCTAGAATAAGTGAAACATTTTTAGATTTTTCTTCAAAGATTGAAGTTTTTATATTTTTTAGTGGCGTTATATTTAAAACTGTGTGATGTTGGTAAAAAACAACAATAACAACAAGTTGGATATTTTCCCACAAGCTTTTCACAATAGTTTGTTGGTGTTTTGGCCTTACTGGTTGGTAGTTATGCTTTTTGTCCATTAGGAAGTAGCATTTGTATGCAAGCTTTATCTTCCAGGTTGATGCCTTGAGATGCAGCATCAATATTTTCACGGTGTCTTCAATCAGGAAGCCATTACTTGTGTGCAGTGCACTAGTCCCTCCTCTTCAAAGTCAGTTTCACGACTGACCGCCCACCTGTTCTTGTGCCGCCCTGGGAATCTGCCCAAATTGCCTTTATCGGAAACCGCCATTGACGGTCAACCGTTGTCTTTCTGACAACTCTGCCTGTTTATTTTTCATAATGTCACTCAAGGAAGCTTTATGCTCTGGGTGTCTATCTTAAAATACATCTTGAAGTGCAACTTTATTTTGTTCAGATGTTGCAAATTAACCCATCAGAAGCTTCCAAAACCCGGACTGCTAAAACACTTAGTAAATATTTGAAACGACTACATTTGACCCTTTTTAGAGTCGTTCTGTTCAGTATTTTCTCGCACGTAAGACGTTTCACTGATAAAGCTGGGTCCTCAACGGTGGTGGTAATCAGGTTTATGAGCTCTTAATCACGACATACTGCAACCGAGAACACAAGATTAAGCTTTTCATCAGACTGGTGGTGCCGGTGAGAAGGAAAAGCAATTGAGATGATTCACAGCCGATTTTTGTCAGAGGAAGAAGGTCTATTCTCACTTAGTCACAGTAATGATCGATGACTGACCAGGTTCATGTCACAGCCTGATGAAGCCTTCAAGCTGCAGCAGTTTTGCACAAACCGCAATGACAAACACCAACTGGTGTGAGAGGATCTTCTTGATTTCTTTTGCCCTACCCTATTTCTTAAAGAGGTGGATTTCAGGAAGGTTGTACCGGCCACGTAAAAGGACCGGTGTCGAAATGAGGGAAGATGAAATGGAGACTCTGGCGAACTAGTTTGAACATCTTCACAAAGACACAAAGAGCACCGCGAAGGATTAGAAGGCCATTTCTGTGGTTGGTTAGTTAGTCGGTGTAAATCACTGAATTCATGACCAAAACAACACGCTCACTTGAGAAAACACAGAGACTATTTTGATTGGAATTATGTCAAACAGTTTAGTCATTGATGTTACAGACGAGTCAAAAGCAGATTTAATGCATATTTTCTTGGCCTGAGCCTGCGTTGAGTGAGCCAGAAAGGTAAAAGACTCAGCTGAGTAGGAACAGACACGCTGTATGTCAGGCAGATTAGAGAGGCACCAGAAGCAGATATGCAACAGATTAGACTGATATGAGCCAGCTGACTATAGCTTTATGTTTATCTGCGTGGCTATTGATTTGCTGCACAGATAGCTGGAGGACAGTGCAATTCATGTCTTGTAAACTTATTGGATTATACGGTCTGACTGAGTATCTGAATCCTCACCTCATTGACTCTCTGGACGTCTGATCTGACTCCTAGATCCTTTCTCTAGAAACTGCATATGCAAATAAACCAGTATATCTATTATTACCAAATAGCCAAATGCAAAAGTCATGCACTGGTCCTGTTTTTAAAGCCACACCATCCAACACGACTGGACTCAGTGTAAGTGGGAAAATTTGGCTGTGCAAAACCCTAACTGCTAAAGTCTTGTCCAACGTCAATCGAAAATATCACAGATTATCTTCCTTTTGATTAAAACTCGAAGGTAGAAAGAGGATTTTTCTGAGTAAAAACACATAAATAACAAATCAGACATTGGTCATTTCATTCAACTTTCACTTTCAATTAAATAAACAGTGGATAGCAGACCTAGCAAAGTTTTTGCCACATATGTTACACGTTATGTTTTTATTTTTATGTATTTTGCAGTTTTTCTGATCGAGTGTGAATCAGAAATCAAATCCCAGAGCTAAAAATATCTATGCAGTATTACAGTTAGCTTATTTTACTGATTATTTCAAATTAAGTAAACTTTATTAGGTAAGAATGTCATTAAGTTAACTTCAGTCATTTTTGAACTTAAGTTGGTCTCAAGTGCAACTCATTATCATCTTGAAAAGACCTTTTAAAAAACCTTAAGCTCAACTTACGGGTACTTATAAAACCCCATGCTAGCTGTTATGCTGCTATGTCGCAAAGTTATTGCGTGTATCTGTTATGGCAGAAGAAACTTTTGAAATAAGAGTCACTCCTTTGTGAGAGGGAACCTGTTTTTTGCTTCCATTTGGGTTTTGACTGTTTCTAAAAACACATGAACCGTTTAAAAAAAAAAACACTTTCTGTCTATGAATTCATTTTTTTGGTGTCTGGAAAATGAGCCATTTTGACTTCCTTACTGATAAGTCACATTTAACTGGCACCGCCAACCCAAGCTTGCTCAGCTGGGTTTACTGCTGTGCACGGTGTACAATGGCTGCTGGAAAAGACAAGTGTTTTGCTGTTGACTTCCAATCCAGACACCATTGGCTGCTTTCTTGTCGGTTATGCGGGAGGCCCCATTTCTGCTATTCAAACATGTACAGTTGTATAATTGTGCACTTGTTTATAGCCATTTTCATGCGCAAGTGTTGATTTGGGGGGCGTGGCCAGCAGCGTCTTTATATGGATTTGAAGTGATAAGAGCCCTTCAAGCAGCTCAAAAGGAAAAAAGTTCTTCCTCGGAAGAACTGAGCAGACTGGTACCATATTATCGAAGAATGATTTTTCCAGGAAGCATAAAAAGCCACCTTTAATAAAACAGGACAGTTAGACAGAAAAGTCTTCATAACATAGCTTTTACCAAAGTAACTCATAGATAAAATGAAACTTGTGATAGAGAAATAAATGTCTCTTTAATACCAGAAAACAAATCAGCTGCACCCATCGACATGGTGGCTGGTTGCCAAAGTTTAGGCGTTACATAGTAGACATGACTTTACGCTGCTTCTTGGTTTTACAGACCACATTAAATATGGACTAATATCTCATTAAATTTTCTTAAACTGAAAGAAATGCTGTTTTTACACACTCTACACCTTTGGTCAAAATGGGATTATTTCAGCCTGACCGCCTTCCACCACAAAAGCCTGAAGTATAATGATTATTGTTTGTCAAACGTGTAATTATGTTGTGATTGCGCTCTGCTGTGAGTCTCTCTGGGCTTCATCAGCAGGACTGGCTTTACATGAAAGAACAATAATGGGATTGATAAATTACATTTGTAAAGAACACAGTTACAATGTGATATTTTTCTTCTCTTAAAAAGGTAATTACAATTTTTATGGATACTAATACGCTGTTATTACTTGGTTATTTGATCTGGCTCATTTAGGCTCATATGTCCAGTTTTTTGGGGGGTTTTTTTGTATGTTTTCCACACACCACCAGGAATATCTTAAAGGAAATGGATTTTCCAGGAAATAGTTTGGGTGGTTCAGGAAAAAGTCCTGTAAACAAAACCAGACAAGATTGAGACCGGGTCAACAGGTGTCTCTTTCTTCTGGACTCCCCCACCTCAAGCAAAGCAAATTCAACGATCTAAACAACGTTCAAACTTTGAACACAGACTGTTGCTGAAGCGCTGTACCGATATCTATCAGGTGTGCGTTACGCACGGGTCTGATTTTGTTTTAAAAGTGGACCAACTGAGTATGGCTACAGTCTTTATTAAAATCCTAATATGTTTGGGATTTAAATGACAGCGCAGCGTCAGATAAGAAAACTCATTTTGAGCCTGACCTCCTTTGACTTTTGTCATCCTGTACTCTGGATTTGGTAGAGCCTGAGGAGATTGCCCTGTCTCTGATATCTGGAGTCATAAATTACGTTTGCATTTTGACTGTCTTGCTCCAGGACCTCCAGTGAGGCCATGTTGTTCATATCACAACTTTGCATAATTGCATGATATTTGCCATAAAGAGCGTCAGACATGAAAAAAGCACTTCTTGATTTAACACGAGCTCCTGCACATATGGAACATGACGCAAATCCAAACTCATCATAGTGACCCAGTTTGCAGAGAGCAAGGATTTCTAATCTCTAATATGAGGCGGAATAAAAGTTTCATAAATCAGGAACCACAGGGGAGAGAAACTTGTGTGCTTCATATAACATCTGTTTCTGTCACCGTGTGCATTTATATTGTTTGTGTTTACATTGTACTTTAAGAATGATTACTACAATTCAAAGACGCCAAACTCCAGTCGTTGAGCGTTACCAAACTGCAGTTTATAGATGCATTTCTTTTGAAAATAGTTAATACGAGTAACATGATTACAAATGAACAAAATCAGTCAAAAGAAAGAATGGTTAAAGTCAGTTCCTTCCAGTATAAGTCTTTAACAAAAACTGCAGGCTGGTCTGTGTCTGGTGACGTTTTGGTTAAAACAAGCTTGTTCTTCCGTCAGTGAAGTTACTCACAGCTGGTTCAGTAAAATCCAGGAGTTTTACTTAAGTACGAGTCGCAGCACTTCACAACAAAATGAACTCGGTACAAAGTACAACGGCATAAAAATACTCCTGAAAGTACATGTTTTTTCAAAGTAAATGTAACTAATTACTACTCAATTCTGCACCTATTGTTGGATGTTGCAGCTGAAACGCTAAACAGCAAGCAGCATGACTTTTTAATTCAGGAAAGCATTTTGATAGTTGATAATTACATACAAAAGGAAAAAAATCACTTGTGTTTTGTTGTTGGAAGGTTAAAAATGATCCACTGGATTAATGCTATGTTTACTTTTCCTCTGTAGTTGTAGTAACGCTTGAACAAGGACACAAAAATCCCAACAGAAACCACTTGACCTCCAGTTTTCTAGCTCCAGACTTTATGAGGGAAACAGCCAGTGGCTCGATCTGGTGTATTTGGCCTCACCAGTTGCACTAAACCACACAAAGTTTTGCTTTGGGAGATTCTCCATGGAAAAGCACGTCTCCCAGAGAGCTTTCCGAGGAACGCAGCGTTTTGACTGATTCAGATCTGGTCTCTTTTTAAGAACTACAATGCTTGACAGAAGAAAACCCAATGAACTTTTTATGTTAGCAGCGCTCGCTTCATGTCGTGTGTGAAACAGCAGTGCATAGTTTCTTTTTAAATGGCTTTTTGCTTCCTCTGACTTTATTTTATTTACTTATTTATTTCATACGCGTAGTGCTCAGACAAAGATCAGACATTTGCGTTTTTCGCCAGAGTCAGGATCGACATTCAGTCTGAATATTTCAAAAATGTGTTCATGTGTCTGGAAATGTCTCTAACTGTAAAATAAATCTAATTATTTTGCAGAATAAACCAACAATATCTAAAATAGTGTAGAGAAAATGGTATCTCGCAACATAAGACAAGCAGATGCCCTTGGACAAATTTAGTTTCAAAATCAAACAGCAACAACCCTGAAAATACTCTTCAAATTCATATCAAGAACTTATTCAAGTGTTTCTTAAATGGCAACATGATATTAATAGGCTACTTCATAAACATTACAGAAGTTGATGTATTGCTTTTTTGTACTGTTTGCGTTGCTGCTGTAAATGTTTTTCACTGTCAGTTTGGAGGAGAGAGTTCTGCTGTTATCAGACACGAAACTGAAATGATCTTTTTTAATTTAATTTAATTTGTGTGGATTTGTGGTTGTAGTTGATGAGTCTGGTGGATGTCAGGTACCCTAACGGCGGCGCTGACGGACATTACTTTAAACATCGAACTGTTTGACCAATAAACATTGCGGGCTCCTCATTGGATCCGTGAAGGGAGACGCGTGGCGGCTGCTCAGCGTCGCTTTTCTGTGAACGGTCGGCAGATAACGCTCCTTCCCTTCTGCGTTTCAGGGTGTGCAAAGGTGGGAGGCGTCCGCTTCCCCGAGGAACTTCCCTCGGTCGGAGCGACGTCCCACGTTCATTTTGACGAAAAGCTGCATGACTCTGTCGTCATGGTGGCCATGGAGGAAGACGGCAACTTCATGGTGAAGGTGGGGCAAAAAATGCAACTATTACAGTAACAATCACTGGTTTCCGCTCTTATTACTAACGTTTCACACAAAGACATATTCACAAACGACATTATGGTGGAGAGAGAGACAGACAGGCTTGAACTGAATGAAACTTTTACGTGTGTGACCTTCAGAGTCGCTCTTTAGATGCAACATCTAGCTAGCGTGTGGTCTGCTCCAAAACAGACCAGCGCTGGAGAGTCAGACATGCCTGGCGGGGAAACGGCTGAAGAAGGATTTAGTGTTTGTTCAAATTATTTCTTATTATTTAATTATGCCAAAATACTAAGAGAGCAACTTTACTTTCTCTTTGCATGCAGTAAGATAACCATTCAGCTGAACAACCTGTGAAAGCCCAGGTGGAAATGTGAAAGCTTTTTAGGTTGTTCCCTGCTAAGGATAAGATTCTGCATTAAAGGCAAGTTAGGGGAAAAAAAAAACCCTCATTATTCTCGCATTTAATAAATAGATAAAGTGTTGGTAATTCAGCTGACACAAACCTGACGAAACGTATTTCAGGCTCATTCAAAGCCAGACAGGGAGGGGGCAGTGAAAACTTGCTGAGCCTGGTGGTTGCGGCACTCATCCAGCAGCCCGTCGTGTTTTTAAGTTAAAAAATGTTCAAAGTTGACAGAACATTTGAAAATATCCCTTGATAACTATGTGTCACTGAAGGATTGGAAAACACCAACCTGAACACCAATTATAAAGACATTTTAAAAACATTTTGAAAAGACTTAAATAAATAAGCAATGCTTTGCAAATAAAGCCTGGTGGCCCGCCAGGCTTATAGTACACTGGGGGAAACCCTGTGTCATCTCTGTTGCCTGAAATTAATGCCAGTCAGATTTTCATTATGTTTGAGAAATTTTCCATGACTGGCAAAATTCCAGATGTTTACAAAGAGTAGACTAAAAATGTGGTACCTCTGGGATTATTCTCTCTTTCTGTACTTTGTTGACGTCACAATAGGTGAAAACACACAGCAGTGCCATGGAGACTGTTTGCAAAGGTAAATAAATGCTGTGATTCGTGTGGTTAAACCGTTTTCCGGAGATGTGATTCTCCACTGAAGCTCCTATTAAACCAGAGGAAGACTAAAACATCGGCTGGACATTTTTAGTGACGTAACGACCGAGCTTGTCTTCCGGCTGCAGAAACCCCAAACTGGTGCTGCGCTAAATATATATGTCCCTGAATGACATGCTTTCTAAATCTGGATGTTAATGCTTTGATTCAATGTGCCAATTCCCCTTCGTTTCCGTGAAAATGGATCGGTCTTATCTGCGAAATCTCCAGGAAAAGATTAAATTCTTCTTACCACCATTAATCTTCTTTGTCGGCTATAAAGGCTTACGACAATGATATTAGACTTCTCTGATGTCACGTCCTGAACCCTCCTGGTGCTTGAGTGGGAAGCTAACCAAGTGATGGTGCCAAAAGGATCCAAAGCGGAGAGATTGATGCAACACTTTGTTCTAAAAGCACTTGTCATTTGTCTGTTTTTGAACTATTATTGAGGTTTTATTCTCTACTACTTTGAATAAAGTATAAATCTGTTTGATTTAGCTGTAAGACTTGTTTTACTGAAGAATGTCAAAGCAATCAAAGACACACCTAAAAAAAATGTATGTTTACACACACTTCTTCCAGTACGCAGTACCATTCATGTTGGGTCAGAGTGCATGTCAGTTTTTCCTAACATTGAGTGGAATTTATTGAGACGACAGATCAAAATTCTTGGCCTAAAAAAATCTTATCCGATAAATTAAAAAACAATGTGATAAATGTTTTCTGCCATTTTCACGTCAAGTTGAAATATATCGCTATCAAATATCACTTGCAGTCGTCTGAATTTAAGAACACGTTCAGCTCAGCGCTCCACAAATGGACCAGCTGACGATACTGAACCTCGTTTCCTTTCTGTGCCTCGTTCGCTGCCTCAAGGAAACCAAAATGATGGAGAAACGTCCTTTCAAGTCTCTCAAAGTTCCTCACTGTGCTGTAACTGAGCCTTCGCAAGCGTTAACACTGAGTCACAAGCAGGCAAAGTTGTTTGCTTGAAAACTGCATGTGTGGGTGTGTGTGTGTGCGTGTGCGTGTGTGTGTGTGTGTGTGTGCGTGTGTGTGTGTGTGTGTGTGTGTGTGCGTGTGTGTGTGTGTGTGTGTGTGTGTGTGTGTGTGTGTGTGAACTGTAATCTTGGCTGTGACCCTAACAGTTACAAACTGGCCTGCTTATGTATCCGCGTTCCTTCTCAAAGCTCCTCAGACACGCCGGCGCGTGGGGCACGGAGCGCCGTCGGGCCGCCATCGCAGCTCGCGGCTGAGATGGGAGGAGGGTTGCCATAGTGACAGCCAGCAGGGAGGGGGCCGGTTGCCGATCTCTGTACGCAGACCAAAGATGTGGTGGGAGTGTGTGGGACGGTGATGGCATGCATAAAACAGCTGTATAAATGTCAGCCGCGATAAAACGCCTCCGTCTCTTCATGTCGGGGCTCTGTGTTCGGGTCATTCCTCTGAGTGGAGCCGCTGTTTCTGATCGCGGAGGCGGCCGATGGCGATGAGGGATTGGCCGGAGGAGTGTTGCTCAGAAGCCGCGCATTATTAAATCCCCGACACTTGCTCCACAAAGGAGTCATTTCGAGATGAGTCTTTAGAGAACGTTAGCTCTTCACAGACAACTCTTATGCAGAGACCATCGTGAAACGAGAACCAAAGTCCTGCGTTATGAGGTTCTCAGAGGGCCGCGTCTTACAGAGCCGAGCTGAAGCAAGAGATCCAATCTGAGAAACGAAAGAGCGCCGTGTCAACCGATGAGGAAGCAGATGGTCGTATTGATAACCAGACACTAGATGTGCTTTTTCTTTTCGTCCATTTCTAGTCTCCAGTTTTTATGAAGCTCCGACTTGCATATTTTGATCAGTTCTGATTCCGCCTGGATTTATTTACAGATAGATTTGTTCAAAATAGGTATTTTCTTTGAAAAATATTTCTCAGATTGAAGACAAATTAATGAGCTAAAGCTTGCCAGCTCGTCAGACAGGCTGTCTCCGACCAGCGAGCCTCAAGCCGTGTTTATTGCATCGACCGACAGAAACGCATGAAAGATCTGTTTCAAAATGTCCCTACCTTTATAAAGTTCGCTGTAGCCATGATCGTTGGTGTTTTATACTAATATTCTTTTCCAAAAGCTCACACCAGTCTTTTTTTTTTATTAATTAAAGGAAATTATGAGGGTTCCTTTTCTTCATGTGACCAGAAACAGCTCAGGTCACTCAAGTTGTTTTTTCCTCGCTTCTCATTTAGAGCAATTTAAATGTGATGGACTCTTTTTGAATCCATAACTTTTTAAAACAAACGATACACCTTGATTCTGGAAACAGATGGCGTCTCGCTCAGATGAAGTGAAGTCAACACCGTCGGTTCGTCTGCAAATCTAAAAACTTGGAGTGATTAATTTATAATGTGAGATTCCTCTCAACACTTGAGCAGAAGCCTAATTATATGACCCCATTTCTGCATGCCAGTGCTTTAATGTGACTGCAGTTGGGCTCATCTAGACTTCGATTTAATAATGTTGGTATTGCGACGTCAGTCCCTGGCAATTTTGCATGTCTAGAGATGGAAATTTGGAAATTTATGTCCATTATTTTTTGGTAAAAAGCTCAAACTAAATCAAATTGGTTGGCCTCTGACCGTTTTTCTTCCTCGGATGCCCCTTACTATTCACAGTCCTATCTGGACTTTACTCTATAAAGAAAAAAGATCAAGTCGTCACTGTTCCTACGTTGTGCAGTTCTCTACTTTTCTTCTCAACAAACAGACTATTTAAATGGTCTTCCTATGGTGTCTTGGTGGTTGGCAGTGATGTTCTTCTGCTTTGTTTCATTTTATAATGGTAGAAACTGCCTTTGGCACAAAGAGATTTAGAGTAGTTGCATATTTTGAAGTTATGAAACAGCTGATGAGACGTTTGCTTTCTTAAAATGCTTCAGGATAATAGTTTATGAGATGTGAGATCAAATTTCCCCAGACAGTTTACGGTGTGTGTCCGGTGAATTGTTGTTGAGCCTCGGCTCGTCACTGAATCCACGGTCCCACTGCAGCTTACTCTGCTTTCATCTTGTCTAGTGTGTGAGGATTTCCTCCCACTTTGCTGGGATGATTCTTCATGAATTTTTCTCTTTCATGAAAGAGAAAAATATTGGGATGTGTCAAATTACCTGCTGCTCTTTCTAAATCAACCCTGCCTTTCATAGATCAGAAGTTAGTAAGAACTCATTCTTATTTAAAGGAGAACTTCTCCTGACTTAACACTGGCACTGAAACGGCCACACAGGATGATGCTGCCACCACCGTGCTTCTTAAATATTATCGCTTCTTCAACATTTTAAAAAAGATCTCTCCACCATCCATAGGTCGGCTTTCTGAAGACGCAGCATCGCTATGAGATCGTGTTCACCCTGCCGGAGGTCCCAGCGGTGGGTAAAGATGTGTGTCCGGCTCCTTTACCCAACCCACACCTCAAAATCACCGACATCTCAGCAGCACCAGAGGGTGAGTTCACAGGTGGCTCCGCAGAGGAAAATGTTTACTGTGCGTCCAAAATTGCAGTTTTCAGTGTCTTAAAAAGGTCATGTGCTTTATGCTCAGGCATCTTCCATAACACCAGCTCCTGGGAAATTAATGAAAACTCTTTGGCTTTACAACTACGTTAAGTTTAACCTCAACATTTCTATGAAAACAAGTCAAATCAGCACTGATATGATTATTTAAAATAACTCAATTCGTATCGAGGTTTTCTGAGGTTCTGCAGCTAATAAGGAGTCGTCTGTGGCGAGAAAGCCCTGCACAAGGCCAGCATTGGATCGTGTTGCCGTTTAACAGGCTCTGAGCAGTGAGCTGTGCGCTGCGGCTTTATTTAAACAGAGCTGCACACTCAGCTGAGCCATATGCCGACACTCGGCTACTACTTAACACGCTGCGGGCAATAATCACAAGGTTAATAATTGCAGGTGATCGGCGGGGACGGCGCCTTCGGGAAGCTGCAGCAGGTTACTGAAACGCTTTTTTAACTGAACACGACATATTGAAAACATAGACAGAAAAATATATAGTACAGCATGTATAGGATAAGTAACACTTGGAGTTTGTGTCCTGATCTCGGGTCATTTGGCTGCTAAGATAACCTGCATTGAAATGCTGGTTGAGCAAACATTTACCAAAGTGTTGAGCTTCATAGACAAAAAGCTGTTTGTCAGTTATTCTCCGCTAGAGGTTACAGTTTTTCTAAGTGCTGTAGAACCAAAAAGCCATGCGTCCCTGGGTGGGCTCGAACCACCAACCTTTCGGTTAACAGCCGAACGCGCTAACCGATTGCGCCACAGAGACCTGCTGGGCTTCGTGACGATCTACAACACTATGGTGGACAAGGTTGGAGTTCCTGGTCAACACGTTACAAAATGAGTTTAAGGGCTCTATTTAGCTGTGATGCTTTACAATTTATCCTTTTACTGCCTGATGGGGTCTTGATTGCTGCAGGACTGTTTGGGTTTTAGTTTGTGTTAAAGCAATGTCGACTTCAAGGCTCAGTTTTCCAATCAGTGAAATGATGAGCCTATAACTTGTGACCCAGTTATTACGCTGGGTTACAAGAAATATTTTTTTAAAGTCGTGTATCTTTGTTCAACTGAATTAGGATTGTGTTTGCACTGCTGAATCCAAAACTGACATCCAAAACTGACAGCCAGGATTTTATTTTGATTTTGATTTGATTAGAGAAATCCAATCTTCTGACCTCCTGACATTTTTGTGACATTATCAGTTCATTTCCATTAATATTTCTCATCCCCAAAAAAGTTTTAGGGGGGAAAAAAAAGATTTTCTGTCAGAATGTGTTTGTTAAATGCTGCAAACTTGGATTTCTGATAATTGGATAATAAATACTGATAAGGCTAAGTACATGTGAATTGAACATCGCATCTTCATTGTGCAAAATTCAGGTCATGAACTCCCGTTTCTTCGACCGCCTCGTATTTTCAGCAGCAGGGATGTCTCTCTTCAGATAACGTGAAAGGACTCAGAAAATGAAAACAAATTCACGCCTCATAATCGGCTGATAGAAATTCCTCAAAGTCTGAAACTGAAGCGCAATTCTGAGCTTTACTTTCACCTCACTGTCACGCCCCTTTATATTACTGACTAAATCTGCTCCACAGATGACTTTAAGCAGGTGCGGCTCCGTGTTTATTAAATTTATGACTGGTTAGTCACGAGGCGGATGTCACGCCATGTTCGTTGAAATGATCCTGAACTGCTTTAAAACCAGACGAAGCTTAGCGGTGAGAGGAAACCCGATCACTCCGCTCTGCCTCTCCCTGACTGTGTGTGTTTGTGTTTTTCAAGGAGGCCTGAAGATAACGTGCGAGTACTTGGCCCTGCAGGAGGGGGTTCTCTGCGAGGAGGTGCTGCTGCTGAGCGAGAGCAGCGACGACGTCTGCATCAGGGTCAAGGTTCACGCCAGAGTCATGGGTGAGGTTATTGCGACAGCGTGAACAAAAATGAAATGAAAATAAACAGCCGCCTCATTTTTTTTCTGCATCCAGCAGCCCATACTGCTCACTCAGTTGGTTTCTGACCTTTTTGGATTGAGTAATAAAGGAAATTTGAATTTCGCAAAAGTTGCGTCACACCCTCAGGACTTAACTGAAGAAGCGTGAATCACTTTGGGATTGCTAGTTGGAACAGTCATCATCTGTGTTTTCCAGGAATTTCATTAAACTTTCATTGATCATCAATGTTATATATTCATCACATAAAATTTCTTAAAATGTTTTTTTTTTTTTAATGTCAAGGCCTGGTTTTGAGTTTACAAATGCAACACTTCTGAGAACTCTCCTAAATTTAGCATTTTGGATTCACTCAACCGTTGCTTGTTTTTTTGTGTGTTTTTGGATAAGAACGAACAGATGCTCTGCTTTCCAAAAGTATTCATACCCCTCGAACTCTTCCTCGTTTTCCTTAAAACCATAAACCTCAATGTGCGGATCCACATTTTGTATGATTGACCAACAACCTCAGCATAATGTTGGGGTTGAATGAAATGATAGTTTTCAGAAGTTTTGAATCTTTTTTTTATGGAATAGAGCTTTGACCAGTTTTACTGTTTACTGTGTCTCCTGAACGTTTGCGCCCACGCAGCATGATGCTGACACGACCATGTGTCTTAGAGGTCATACGGTATTTTCAGAATGATGTGCGAGCTTCCCTCTGCACAAAGGTGTTTTTATGTTGTTCTCATGTGAGCAGAGTGACTTTTTTTTTTTTATCAGTAATTAAGCAGCATCATGCTGTTGTCAGCATGATGCTGCTTAATCACTGATATTTTCCAACAAACCTCCAGAGGTTTTCCAGAACATCTGGATGTATGTGTACTCAAAATACTTATCAGGAGCATTTGGAAGCAGCTCGTTTTGCTGGGCTTTACTTAAGGTACCAAGACTAATGAATAGATATTTATGTTGGTGTATCGCAATGCAATATCCTAAAAGTTAGTGCTTTGCTTGGAGTTGCTGTGATTTTGCTAGTGCACCGATGCCCCCTGCTGGTGGTTCTGCAAACTGCAATGTTTGTTCAAACCAGTACCTAGAAATTTTGATCACATTCATAAGTACTTTATATAGTGTTACAAAGACACATTAATAGACAATAAATACATGTATCTTAATCACAATGTATTTCTTCTTATTCAGGCTAATTGTGAAGTTTGCACCATTGGCTGGTTTTTATGTCTCTGTATTTCCAATACATCCACAGCTTGTAACAAACCATTATCCTCTCAGTTTAACTCCATCTCAAAGCGTGGATAAATCCAGTAAATACATGGTACATATTTAAGGGCTTCTGTTGTGCTGTTTTCCTGCATGTTTATTTTTAATCTCATAGCACGGCCTGAACATCTGCCCAGAGGTCTGCTTGTAATTTAAGCCTGGACAAAAACCAGGTCAATGGATTAGGCTGTGCCTCCACCTCTGCTGTTCTTGGCTGCACTGTCGCTTTAAATAAGAACCTAGATAATGAAAATACAACATTGTGCTGCAAGCTGATCCTTTAATCATTGTCATATCCTCCTAATATTTTCTAATTATTGAATTTGGTACCTCATATGCTATTCAAACAGGCAGGCATTTAGAGAAAGCACGTTTGTAGTTGTTACTCTTGGTGAAACATATTTCAGCTTGGCCTGCAGGGAATCTAAGGACAAACTGCTGTTAACAATAGGTGGATTGTCTCTTGGAATTAGGCATTCCTCCGTGTATCAATAAAAGTCTGATAGTTAGATTGTAAAAATAGATTAAGATTGTCTTCTGATCTTTTTAAAGCCTGATTGTTAAGCATAATGAAAGCAAAAGCAGTTGCATTGGCCGGGAATCGAACCCGGGCCTCCCGCGTGGCAGGCGAGAATTCTACCACTGAACCACCAATGCTTCCATGTGAGAAGGGAAATCCCACCCACTCAAGTACAGAGCCCATCCCCCCGAGTGACGGCTCGGTGGAGGCAGGATTTCCCACACGTATGCGTGTCTGCAAAGCTCACGCAAAGAGAGGATCGTTCTGTTTCTGTCTTTTGAGTGAGGTTTTCTCACTGCAAATTTCTTGTTTGAAGGACCGACGCGGGCCCACATGATCACAAAACCATAGCGGCGCAGTGACAGACGAGGGGGGATGGGACGTTTCACAGGGGGAAGGGAATGTTTAAATGTGGAGTGTGAGCGTCAGTCAGCTCTCTGACCGACTAAAAGGATTAAACCCGTTCAGTGTGAGCCTTGTACCCCAGATCCTTAGTGGTTTTAATCGAACTGCCTCCAGCTAAAACATGTTAACCCTCACAGATTGTGTTAAAACTAACTAATGTGAAATCTTATGCTCTTCTGAGGTTTACCAATAAAAGTAGAAAAAAGTATAAGAGTGAGGGAATGGCAAAAGAAAGCTTAGCTTACATCTCCAAAATCTATAGTATACTTCTCCAGAGAAAGTGAACATTTTGATATGTGATGTTTTTATAAGTCAGTTGAAGTATGTAGAAGTGGTAAAATACACCAAAAGGAAACATTTAATAATAAAAGACAGAAACCTGTGGCTGACATAAATGTATGGATATCGCGGTGGGCTTCTGACATTATTATTAATTTGTGTCGCTAGATCGTCATCACGGCACGCCCATGCTGCTGGAGGGGGTCCGCTGTATTGGCACGGAGCTGGAGTACGACTCGGAGCAGAGCGACTGGCAGGGATTCGACTGAACCCAAAGTCTCCGACTCCCAGTTGCACCTGCAGAAACACAAACACGCTCATCTGCCATGTCAGAGGTTTACACCCACCTTACGGCTCAGAAATGTCACCTTCTCATATAAGAAACATTAAACGCTTCCATTCTGATTTACACATGCAGATTAGTGCGCAGCAGCGTCTTTGGCTGCAGAGATCGCCATCCTGACCTCAGTGTTTAAGGTCAGACCTCAATATGGGAAACATTCCTCTGCTTTAACGGTGTCAGAGCATTTTCCCACCTGTCCCTGTTGTAAAGTGTGTTTTCCTTAGTGAGCCTGTAGAGGGCAGCATCACCCTTCAAATCAGCCTCCAATCCTCATCTGTTCTTCTTGTTCTCTGGCTCTTGGCACTCTTGGGTTTTTACTGTTAGGCGTACATAAGGGCTCATCCATCAGCTGTAAAAAAAATAAATAAAAAATGTAATTCTGAATGAAGGAAGAACTCTGACCTATTCAGGAAAGTGTGAGCTAATAATGTCTGTTTAGTCATAAGAAGGGCACTGCACACCACTGTATGTAACACGGCTCCGGTCTGAGGACTTGTTTTCTACAGTTTAAAGGTTTCTGTATCTGCAGGGGTTTTTTTATTTTATTTTATTTATATGTGAAATGCATTTTTACATTCTGTACCTGACATTTCTGTTGTGGTCTCTCGGCTTTAACCTGCCCTCATCATTACTATTTCAGAGTATTTTTTTTGTTGCTTTTCAATAGCGGCTGCTTAGGAGACCCTTAAAAATGGGTCAGGGTATTTTAGTGAGGTCAGACGAGGAATGCACGCACGGCAGCCGTATTAAAGGAAAGAAAAAAATGACACCTCATTACAAACTCTGCCGGTGGATCTGCAGCCATGTTTCACTGTATAGTCATTATAAATAGGTGATAGAGTCAGAACTGAGGTGTTTTTTTTTTCTTCCTCATCCTACTAAATCATTTTTAGCTGTATTATTTGAGTTCCCAGGTTTTACAAAAATAAACTGTTTCAATGAATTACAACCAAAATTCAAAATACACTGGAAAAGTAATAATTTTACTGTATTAAATTGAATTAAAAATTCAATTGGATTCAGTCTGCAGACTGAATTGAGTTATAGTTATAATGCCAAATGTTCTGTGAAGATTTTTTAATGAAATATCTTTGTTTTGATTGGTGTTTTCTTTTTCCTGTTGCTGCCCTTGTTCGAGCCACCTATCCTTCAACAAATTCTTCCACAATGTGAATAAGAGGCACGTGTTTTTTTTTTTTTTTTACAATTTTCCGTCTCAAGCGTGTTCAGGCTTGTTGTTCGTGATGCCTGGATTTATTTACAGGTATGAAATCGATCAATTTTTTTTTTTTTTTAAACAAAAAGAAAGCGAGAACAAGGATGTGAAGTCAGCCGAAATGTGCTGAATCGGTTCGTCGGTGTATAACACAAAAACAAAATTAGTGACATCAAAGGCCTCAACTCAATTTCATGTTCGTTAAAATGAAGACGGATTTATTTATTTACCCAAGGGAAAAGTCAGGAGAAGCAGCTTAACGGCTCTGTGGAGAGTCCAATCAGCAATTCACTACAGTCTTCTGGTGACACAAACTCTTACTTTCAAATAGTTGTAATTCTGGCAGCATTCGGGTAAATGTTGTAATTTCTGCTCCTGTTCTGACCAGCATTATTGCTTCCAATTGAAACTAAAAGTTTCATTCCTGAGGCCGTTTCTTCAATGCATAATTATCCGCTTTAAAAAAAAAAAGACTAAATGTGATTTCTGTCTTGCGTTGTTTTTTTAGCTGTCAAATCTGACATATGTCCTTTAAATAAGGCTGGAATATCTTCAGAGCCTTTAGAAACACTCACCTAACAAAAGTGCCTTTCAATTCTCTGTCCAGTCTCCCTTTGTTTTGTAACTTCTCGCCTGCTCTCCTCTTTAACTCTCGGACAGGAGCACGGTACATTCCTGATACACTGATGAATAAAGCGTGTTTTGGACTTAAAAACAAAGCAACAATCCGAACATTTTTGCCTTCGTCGTCCGGAGCGCTGCCTGTAAACCAACCACTCAAAGCTCCCGCCCGTCTCACGTCAGCTTGCTTACAGATCAAGTGCCAAGATCACACATCTCATGCAGGTCCTCTTAACGTTTTCTACTTTGAGCCTTTTATTGTTCCCGAATGTAATCAGCCTTTCAAAATAAAACAAAACAATCCGCAGTTTCTTCTCGTTGTTGTTTCACCACAAACTTCAGACTTTGTGGATCTTTTCTCCAGCACAATAGGTCAATGTTCTCTGTTGGTGTAAAAGCAAAAAGCTTGGTAGTGTATTTTATTTTATTTTTTTCATGAACGTCGTGCTTCAATGTGTGGAATATGTCTGTTTTAATGTCAAAAGCAGAATAAATAAACAAGAGAGCCTGTTTGAACTTTCTCTCTCTCTCTGTGTCAGTTCTTTGATTGGACGCAAGGTGGCAGTCTAGGCTTCCACAACCCTCCACATCCGCTCGTTGTCTCTTCCGTGCTTAAAGTTACTCTTTTCGTTTTCAGTTGGAATGAAAAACATTTGATTTTTGGTTGACTTTGCGCATTGTCTCTTTTTAAACTATGCTTTGCGCCGCGTTGATTCACTTCTACGCCAAAATGAAAGCATTTTCTGCAGACAAAAGAAATTAAAGTAAACTGAACCAGAAAGCCTGTTGCACTGAACCAGGGATTCGTTAGGAAACCGTTCCTGAAAGAACCATATATTTGATTTAAATAAACGAAAGATTGACTCTGCATCCCGTTGTTTGTTTTGTTGTTGTTTTCAGAGCTTGTGTGTCTTCAAAGGTCCTCTTTGACAATGAGCCGCATCTTCATCTTCCTGTGTGAACCCGGGGCAGGACGGACCAGGCCTCCCCTCACCAAGCTCCGGCTTTCTGCGGCGAAACGACCTGCAGAAGTGCGGGAAGGAAACCCCGCAGAAACTAACAGACAAAAACAAAACAAAAAAAAAAAAACTAGTTTCTAAGTTGCAGCGACTTTAGGGGAAAAAAAAGTCATTATTTCCCCAAGGTGAGGACTAAATGGCCAAACACGCAGCATGTCGCTTTTTCATTATTATTATTTATTTATTTATTGTTTTGATGTGTGTAATTTTTTAAATATTTTTATTTTTTTTAAGAGGTTTCAGAGACTTTAAATAAGGAGGAAAAAAATTGCAACCTTATTCAACTTTTTGAACATAAATTAAAATTGTAATTCAGGGGGAAAAGAACATAAATAGATAGGCTATATCAGTTATTTAATATATATATATATATATATATATATTATATATATATATATATATATATATATATATTATATATATATATATATATATATATATATATATATAATCTTTAATCACTTTAATCTTGTTCTCTTATCTCTATATTAAAATTCCTATAAATTAATGGTGGGAGTCCACAGTAATACTCTCATGATGACGTCTTAAAATAAAAGCTCGTTAACTTCGCGCTTTGATTTAGTTTCTTTTTCCTCCGTCTAGACTCGTTTTTTTTATATTATCTTTTTAATTTTTTCCCAGTTGACTGCTTTATTATGGCGTCACTTTGTATTCATTGTAAAACTTTCCATTCCTAACTTTCAATAACCGATTGTAAAAGCATCTCCAGATCTGTTTTTGTTAAACTGACTTTCATTTGAATTTAATTTTCTCTCATTTTATTTTTTTCCCCCCTCTCTTCCGTTCAGCTTTTATATTTTTCGATGCGCCTTTTTGGGGAGGCCTGACTTGAAATCCATCTAATAATTTGGAACAGCCAGAAACGAGTTCACTCCACCTGCATGGGTGTAGAGTACATGGCTGCAATATAAATATCGCGTTGCAGTTTTGGAAAGCTTTGGGACTGGTTATTCTTCCACAGCCCCATCCCGCACAGACGTGTTATGTTTTGTTGTTGTTGTTGTTTTTCCCGGGGCGGGCCGACCTGCGTTTAACCTGCGATTGTCGCAAGCAAACTGAATAAAGGCAGAAAGAAAAAAAAAATGAAATCTTTTAAACTCCCACACACGTGGCTCAGATGTCTGCGCCATCGCTGCGCGGATTCCGCAGCCCGTGTGTGGGATGAGTGAACTCTGCGTGGCCCGGTGCCCTCCCTCTGACCTGCGGGATTACAGTTATCTCTGCTGATTGATCTGATTGATCAGATTCATCTCCACGAGACCGCGAGCCAGCCATGCACAGGCGGGGCGGGGTGCGGGGCGGCCAGGGTGGAGGAGGAGGTGGTGGTGGTGGTGCAAACAAACAGTTTATTCCTTTTAGCCCGTGCGTTGATCCAGGCGGTGAGCTGCAGTTTCATATTGCAGCTTTTATCTGCTGCATCTTATGGCAACAGAGAGAAAACATAGAGTTGTTGCTCTATTTTTTTTTCTAAGATTAGACGCGTTCAGTCGTCCAATGAACACATTTAGTGTAATTTTTCATTTGTCTTGGCTTCAGTTTAGGAAACTTATGATCCCAATGTCTTTTTTCTCTCTCTTTTTTATGAAAGCCAGTTTTAGTGGTCAGGTTCATATTATCATTAATATGTGAGGTTTTTATATCATAAGAGTGTGCATTCGCTTCATTGACATGCCTAACTTACAGTGGTATAAGGTACTTTTGTTCTTATATAAGAAGACTTTTGCAGAGAAAGACACTTTTTTTCCTTTTGTTTCACAAAGAGCTACACTTCAAGTGCCAACATTTCTGCCTATAAGCAACGGAGGCAACAAAAAAAAACAGATCACTCTACATGGCAGTGATACTGAATGTCTCTAAGTAAACAAAAAATGCAGTGATAAAAACAAGCTGTTTGGTTTGACACAATTTGGTTAGATTTTGATTAAATGACGCAGCCTCTATTAGGTTAATTACATCCCTTTTTGAAATTTATGTATTAAAAAAAACTGAGCTTAATTTATTGTGCAATTAGGTTTTATTTATTGACTTAAGCTTTCAGGGAGAAAGATGAATTCTCCCTGAAAATTTTCAATTTATGCTTCATCAATCAAATGGATTTCTGAAAATCCGTACCAAAAGGATAAGAGCGTTTATTTAAAATTTCTCAATCCACGTTCATCTTACTTCATACACATTTAAACGTATCCTAAAATGTAGCACTGAAACATCTTTTCCTGTCAACCACAGCTAAATTGTAAGATTTGTCAGCTAGAACTACCTCTGGGTTCAGAGACTTAGCTAGCTAGCGTGCTAGCTAGACATTAGCATTGACTGTTCAAAGCTGGAGACAGAATTAAATTCTTATTACAATACAGAAACTTTCTAAAGTACAAGTTTCGTGACAGTTCTCAACTTTTATGATATTTATGTCTTCATTCGTAATGAAGCTTTAATCTGTTTTCAACTTGAAACACAGCGGCCGATTTAATGATTGACTGAACCCACATCTGCATGTTAAATCCAATCAAAACACTAATGTCGGACTTATTGGCAAAAATATTAGTTGATGTTGGTAAGATTAAAATATTTACTGGATTTAAATTAAAGCAATTTAAATCACTAAGGTTTAATATTCTTCAAGATTCCGTTTTATAGTGTAGCAAATGTGATTCAAGTGTTAACACTGTCGCCTGAATTGAAACTGGATACAAACTTAAATTCTCACTTGTGGCTGATGTCTTCTCTAACTGGGTTAATTTATTCAGCACACATAAACATCTCAAATACATTTAAGATTTATTATGTACAAAAAAATGCAGGTCATTTTGTTAGAATTTTGACGTTGTTGAACTGTGAATGTGAATAAAATTCCAACAATTTGAAAGCTTTTTTAAAATAATCTACAGTTGGTGCAGCTCCCTAATGAAGTGACATAAAGCAAAGACGTGCTTCTGCTGGTGAAATCCAAGGATCCTGTCTTTAGTGACCCATCAGTTTTAGTTGTGTGTCTAATGTAAAGGGTTGTGAATTATTTTCTCTTTGTCATGTTATATTTACTACTCAATTACCAGTGATGAGGACACAATCGTTAGTTGAATTTTGGATTTTGAGCATCCATATTAAACTATAGAAATGTGGAGAGAAAATGTGTTTTTGGAGGGTTTGATTCTGCACCAGTGAAGACAGAGAGAGTGAAGACAGAGAGAGTGAAGACAGAGAGAGTGTAAATACAAGAGAGAAGGAGGAAGGAAGCCTGTGCGTACTGTGTGCGTGTGGGTGTGTGTGCTTGTGTGTGTCTGTGTGTGGGTGTGTGTGGGGGGGGGTGTGTGTGTGTGTATGTGCGTGTGTGTGTGTGTGTGACAGCAGCAGCAATCAGTCCCCTCTTGTCTCGCTGCTGAGTGCAGCATCTGATTGACAGTTTCTATTCATCCTGTGTGAGATTAGGCCAGCTGAAAGGAGTAACAACCCATGTCTGTGTGCAGTAATTACGGCCTCGGATGAGGAAAAATAAGAAAAAAAGCACGCACACACACACACACACACTGCAAAACTATAATTATATAATCCATGCTCAAAAAGCCCTCTCTGCGCTGTGTTTTCAGAGATGTTTCACCTGTAAAGAGGAAATTCCGCCCTGCGTTTCAGTTGTCCCCCCACAACCAAAATTATCTTACAATCACAACAAACTGCAGGCTGCAGCATCAACATCAAGCTGGCAGGGAAATAGAACGGGGTTTGCGCAAGATTTGCTCTGCATACATACACTGGACGGGCTGAATGAGACGCTTTATCCTCACTAACATTGAGTTGCGCAGGTTTATTACTGTGGTTATGCGCTAACGCCTTTATTTGGGAGTGTGTTTTCGTGTTACGCAGTACAGTCTGCTGAGCTGCAGATTGTACTGTGTCTCAGCAGCTGTGAGTGAAAGGACGCAAACCTGTTAAATGTTATTCAAATGATCAGCATATTTTTAGTTGCCTTTATATGGAAGATATTCATCTTGAAACGTGAATCTTCACAGAAGGCTGAGATGAGATACGGAGGATGTAGATGAAGGTTAAGCACATTGAAGTGGACAAAAATGTTCTTTTGTATTTTATTCAAAGAATGAATAAACAAATAAAAATGTGTCTGAAGATGAGATCTAGAACATTACTGTGGCAGCTCCATTTTCAGAAAGAACCTTAATCATAAATAATGATACTCTAATTCAAAATGTTTGCATTCATCCTGCCAAATTTGGCTTTCAGCCATTTCCAACCATTCATGTTATTATGTTTAGATTTTTATTAGTATTTCTGAGGAGCAATTATGTGAGTTTAATAGCTGAAAGACACAAGAACAAGAAATCAATTAAATTCTAACCAATATCCAAATATTACTACGTATTTAGCAAAAATGATTAAATTATAAACAGTAGCATAATTTTGTTTAAAGCATTCATTTAGTCCTGTTAAAAAAACATTACTGACATAATAAAGCTTGCTAAAGTTGGATGTTAGCATTACCGCAATGGCTAAAAAGGTTAAATTCTTGCACCAACACATACAGTAAGAGTTTTGTACATCAAGCTAGCAGGTTTTAGCATTAGCGCAGTGGCTGAACGGGTTTGAAATGAACACAAGCCTCTATTTATGCTGCAGCACAGAAAGTTTCCCAACTACAAGTCTATTGACAGTCTCTTAAGTTTGACTAAGTTTTATATTCATTTATAATGGTACACACGCAAACATATTAACCTCACAGTGCTCTGCACCAGTTACAATGGAGACAAAGGAGAATGACAGCTGATTGAATCAACACTTCAATCAGCAGTTGCACGTTAGTTTGTTTATAATTTAACAGTTAATTAACATTACACAATAATGTTTCTAATTAAAATGAAAATACTTTCAAGTGCAAATATTTTGTATTTATTTTTACAGAGCAATTTTTGGTTCATTAAAGTGCACAGTTTCTTAAATAATATCCCATCTCTTTTTTTTTTTTTAAAAAAAGGAATGTATATATATAAATATTTTTGTAAAGCGCCATGTGACACATTCCTACACATTTCATTTTTTTATAGGATCAAATTGAAAAAAAAAAGTCATCTCTAACCACCTTACAAGACAAACAGGTCCAAGTCATATCCAGATATGTAGTCTCATTATAAAAATATAATCACGTAGTCACATTCAAATTCAAGTTCATAGACTCCCACATTAAATACCAATTTATTCTGTGTTCATAAAATCCTGATGCTATTTTTTAAAGTCTTCCCCAGTAAGTCTTTAACAAACAGCTACACTGGAAATGTTGGATAAATTCAAGGCATTGATTTCAACCATTTAAAAAAAAAGAAAGTATTTTATATGGTTTATGGCAACTAACAACCCAAAACCTCCAGCAGATGTTCTGACTCCACCAACCACTGCTTCACATTGAGCCTCAAGCAGCTTTGGTCCTGGAGTTTGAAACAAAATCTGACGAGAGGGCTTTGGACCACCGAGCCACAGTCCGGCTCTTTTCCTCCTGAGTGAGACGCTGATGTAACGTCACACAGGTTGAAGTTGATGAAGCTGTTTCTGGTTCAGCAGCGGCTCGTTAACCCAAGGAATGTGACAGATGTCGTCCATGTCCTGGATACATCTTTGTGTTAGTGGCTCTTCAGGTTTCTTGTCTAGTGTGTCCCCCCTGAATGGTCTTTGTTCATTTTCCACAGAACTTTCCATAACGTATGGAAAACTATCAAGCAATATCTCACCCTTTTTGTTTGGAGGGTGTCGGTTTTCAACTGCGTCAACTATCTTCCCTATCAACACAAATCCTAACCCTCTTGTGTGGCGTTCAACTTCTCTGGGGAAAAAAGAATTTGGGGTTTTAAGTAAGTCGCAATCAGCAAGATCGAATAGGAATGAACCTAATTTATTATTTATTGAAATTAATTTCCAAACGTCTGAATGGAGACGCACCTGTGGGCTGCAGTTCGCCGGAGTTGAACTCACAACCATCAGTTCAACTCCCTGTCACAAAAAGAAAAAAAAAGAAGAAAGAAAACCCTGCCCTGCCCGCCGACCAATCGGCGACGCGCCTGCAGTCGGCAGGAAGTGACGTGCGGAGATCCTGCCTCTGTAAAACGGAGCGTATCAGCAGAAACATTATCCACACGTCCTCCCCTCGCCATCCTTTTTTTGCGCTGTGTTCGTGAAGACGGGGTGGAACCGGCCGGTTCTGCTCGCCGCGCAAATGATAAATTGCAAAAAATCGGTGACAATAACAAAACCCAACGAGCGCGCGCCAAACTTTTTTGCCGAGGCGCCCCGCTGGTGTTTTTCCCCATTTCCTACCACTCCCCGTCCAGAAGGGCTCTCTATCTAAGACATCTTTTTATTTTTTCTTCTTCTTCTTCTTTTTCTTCTTCTTCTTCCTCTTCCTCTGTGTGCCGACCCCCTCCCAGCCCCCCCTGCATGTGGCTCCGCCAACACACACACTCCAAGGATCCGCAGAGGCAGCTGGTGTGAACTGGGAGTGAAGCTGATCCGGACAAACCAGCTCAAACTTTCCCTGCTCAGATTTTTTTTCTCCATCCTTTTCCTGCGCGTCGCCTCTCACTTTTTTTTTTTTTCTTTCACCCTTCCTCCGTGTGTGTGGCGCCTCCCCTGCTCCTCCACAGATCTTCACCATGCATCTCCACCTGCACCTCCCGGCCGCTGCAGCTTGAGTAAATAATAATAATAACAACAATAGTAGTAGTAGTAGTAATAATAATAATAATAATAAAAACAGCCCGAGGTTTCCTCCCCTAAGCCGGCCGGCGAACCCTCCTCCAGGTTCCGACTCTGGACTGTGCGTCATGCCGCCACACCTGAAGCGCAAATCGGTTCCGCTGCTGGACCGCGACGTGTCTTTATAAGTGGATCTACTTGGTTTTTCTTTTTTTTTATGCTTTGAGGTAGAGGTGGGTATGCCCTGCTCGTCTCTGGAGAACATTGGCAAAGAGCAGAAAGTAGAGAAGAGCGATTAGAGAGAAGGAAGGAAGCAAGGAAGGAAGGAAGGAAGGAAGGAGAAGGTTTCGCCCTCGCAGAGACTCTTAACTTAGTTGTTGATGTTCGATCAGGCCACGACTATGGGAGATGGGAACCACCGCTGTGGACCCAACCCGCTGGACAGGATGGAGGGCAAGTGCCGCCCCGACATGGGCAGCAGGTCCCCCGTGCAGAGCTCCACCGACACGCCGGGGACCTCCGCGTCCACGCCGACGTCCTCCAGCGAGGACGGGCACGACAAACTCCTGGGAGTGGACCCGGACTACTGCCGCCGGATACTGGTGAGGGGTAAGTGGGCTCCGACTCTGGTTCACCCGAGAGCAAAACATGGAAAATCAGCTGTTCCACCTGTGATCAGAAAATGACGATTAAAAAAAAATAATAATAAATAAAATCAGGCACTGATGTGATTTGTTTATAAATATATTAAGAGACTTGCGTTAAAGAAAAAAAAGGAAGGAGGGAAGAAAAAAATCTAAAACGACAATTTTTTTTTTTTTTTAAAGAGATGCACTGTTTCTGTTCAGACTCAACTTTCTGTTGGAGTTGCAACAGGAAGAGCTCCTCTGCTGCTGGGAGGACCGCAGAGACCTCCCAGTGTCAGTGCAGCCAGCAGCAGATAAAAACCTACAAATAAAGAGATAACGTCTTCATGCACGCGCCACTGGGATGTTTACGTGCAAAAAGCGTCAACAAGCAGGCCTGTTACACACTTTTATCAGTGCAGCCTAAACAGCCGCAATCACGAACGTCTGAATGACTGTCTGGTTGAATCAATAACGTTCCCATCGTTCAGATGTATTTTAATGACATATATCCATCTTTAGAATAAGAAATCCCAGAAACAGTCTGCAGACTAAAATTCATCTCCTTGAATTTATTAGCGAGCCAAAAATAAACAGGGCATTTAAAAAAAACACACCAAAACAAACAAACAAATTGTGTTTTTTGTGACTTTTTACTAAACATAAAATTGAATTCAGATCCACACCCTCCAGCAGGAGGTCACTACAGGACAGGCAGCTCTTAACACACTCACACACACACACACACACACAGAAACCCGGTGAGTGTATTTATTATTATTATTTTTAAAAAATGCAAACTGCCTAGAATATATGTGTGTTTCTGTTAGAGCTCAGGAGAAAATAATATGCACTATGTAAGTAGCTATTTTCATATCGATGCAATTAAAACAAAGTAATTAAAAAAATCTGTTTCAGTTTGTTATCTTGTAAAGTTCTCGTGAAATATGAAGCAATTTTAGACAACGAAAGAAAAAAAATAAGGAAACAACCCCTCTGCTGCTGGAAGGACCGCAGAGACCTCCCAGTGTCAGTGCAGCCAGCAGCAGATAAAAACATATAGAGATATCAAATATAGAGATTATCTTCATGCACGCGCCACCGGGATGTTTACGTGTAAAGCTTTTTTTATGCTGATGTGTTTATTTTTTTTTTGGCTCGCCAATAAATTCAAGGAGATGAATTTTAGTCTGCAGACTGTTTCTGGGTTTTCTTATTTTAAAGATGGATATATGTCATTAAAATTCCTGCTTGAAGGTAGGAGTAAATATTTATCTTAAAATATGATACGAATTTTGTTGATCGAATATCACCGAATACGTGTTTGTTTGCTTTTTTTTTTTTTTTTTTAAAGATAAAACTGATGCTGTGACAATTCAAACAAGCTTAAAGACCTGAGACGTCGCCCCTGCAGCTGTGTGTTTATTGCGGATTTCCTGAACAATACGTCGGCCCGTCATGCTGCTGCAGAAACAGACGATTTAAAGGAACAGATTGCTGAAATCAATCGCGCAACGATGGACGCGTAACAGACAAAAATGAGCAATGGAAACACTCACACGTGCAAAACATACAAAACTAAACTAAAATAAATCACTTTACCATTTAGCTTCACAAAACCCACCCATTCCACTAAATAAAATAACCACAGGCGTTGATTTAAATGGAAATTAAAAACAATAAAAGTCGACATTAAAAATGGTAGCGACAGCGAAACTAAAAAAAAATAAACAGATCAAAATATTACTTCTGTGGTGTTAATTGTCTGTGTGGTTATGTTAAGCTTACCATCTATATATTGATATTTGTTTTTATTTATCGGGGCCGCCTGGGCGATATCACCGCGTTTCGGTAACATCAGATGTGCATTGCGGTTTGTGATTCAGCCTCCGTACCGCATCGCGTTACCTTCTAGTGGAAAGAAGCAGGTAAATATCAGGTTTCACCGTCCAGTTGTTATTCAGCGACTGTTTTCAGAGCTGGGATTGTGTTGTTGTTGTTGGGTTTTTTTTGTTGATTTACCAGAATTGCTTCGGGTTTGTTTCCTTTTTTTTTTCTTTCATTCTTTTTTCTTTTTTCTTTTGGAGAGCGACCGGGGTCACAGGGAGGTCAGCAGGTCTCCCTACACAGCCGCTGCTCTGCGTCCCAGAAAAGCGCCGCGCAGTTAGAAACGCTGCTTCAGTTTGAGGCAGAGGAAGCAAAACAAACCCAACATGTCCTTCATATTTGCATGCGGTCATGTCTTTTTTTTTCTGGAAACAGACGCCGTCCTGAGACACTGTGAGGCAAAAATAAATAAATAAAAATATAGCTATATAAAATGTTGGCATTGAAAATGTATTTCTGCAGATTAAAGCAACGTGCGGAGTCGATTAATGAAGTAGGGGTAAATAAATCTGAATAACGAGCCAAAAATGTCTGGACTTTTCATCAGCGCGTCTACAAACGACCATCAAACGAGCGGAGGTGGCACTTTACCATTTAGCTTCACAAAACCCACCCATTCCTCTAAATAAAAAATAAATAAATAAATAAATAAATAAATAAATAAATAAATAAATAAATAAATAAATAAATAAATGTTTGCAGGTATTTTGGGCCTTTTTGCTCCTCGTATTAAAGGTTGCTTTCCGTCAGAAACACTCGCTCCGCGTGCAGCTGCTTCTGTTTCATATTTAATTCAGCGCCCTTCATATTTTATTGGACTGCATATTTTATGAATGAACAAAGAGGAGTTTTTTTTTTTCCTTTTTCTTTTTTGACCGCTGCTGCTGCAGAGAGTCCAGGCAGTGACGAACAGGAAGATTCACAAATAAATAAGTAAATATACATATTTACTTACGTGTCTATTTACTGTTATAAGCAAATAGACGACGTGTGTTTTTATTTATTGATTTTCAAATAAACATCGATAATATATTATTATTAAAGGTAATTGTTACTTTCGTAGGACTATTGTGTTTTCTCTATTTATTTGTTTATTTAAAAAAAAATTACTCTCCATTTCAGATTAGTATGGGGGGAAACAAAAATGTCCGTAAACTGAATCAAATAATTAAATATAAACCTAAATAAAATATTAAAAAATAATAATAATAAACCAAACAACAAGGACACGACGACATCAGGGAAATCACTGACAATCCTTTCAATAATAATAATAATAATTACAATAATAATAAAAAAAATAAAACATTTAAAAAATCAGACTGAAGCTCAGAAACGGCTTTGTTTGCCTGCACCGCTCTGGTTCACTGCTTTATCAAGAGAAACTCTCAACCAATCAGAGCTCAGCTTCCCTGCAGCTATATGACTACATGCATGTATTTATATATTTATTTATAATATTTAAAGCACAACACAGAGCAAAAAAAACCCCAAACAAACAAAACCGTAAACATCATTAAATAAAAGTAAATAACTAAAAGTGCAGCAGCGTGCGACACGCAGTCCAGCGTGTAGCTTGCTGAATACTTTGCGTCAGGCTGCGTTACGGTCAAAGTCTTGATAATTACGTTCTTTAAATCGGGCAAATCACGGAACATAAATCCACGGGGTTTCTCAGCGAGGCACGCATGAAACGTGCGTGTCCACCACGCGAGGCAAATGCTATTGAATAGAAAACAAACTTGGATTTTTATTTAAAAAAAAAAAGAAGAAAAAAAAGGCTTTAGAGCAATAATAATGAATATATATATATATATATATATATATATATATATATATATATATATATATATATATATATGTGTGTGTGTGTAGGAGCTAAACTAACTAATACTTTCCATGCGCTCTTACAGCAGCACAATCAGCTGCCCATTCATGCTTTTGTGATCCCTGAAGCCATATGCCTTTATGTGTGTATGCTCATAAATATTACATCAGTGAGGCACCATGTATGGGCCTGAGTCACACCGGGCTAGCAGGCATTAGTATTTCCTCAAATCACCGAGCTGTTGCTCAGTTGCTGTTGTTTTATTCCCGGCTACAATAATAAGCCACTAGCAGCTTATGATTTCATCGCCATGAGCCTCGCTGGGCGGAAATACACCGACTCTTTGTGCTTTCCAACACCTGCACAGACGCCAAAGGCACCATCCGGGAGATCGTGCTGCCTAAGGGCCTGGACCTGGACCGGCCCAAACGCACTCGGACCTCCTTCACGGCCGAGCAGCTGTACCGCCTGGAGCTGGAGTTCCAGCGGTGCCAGTACGTGGTGGGCCGGGAGCGCACGGAGCTGGCCCGCCAGCTGAACCTCTCGGAAACACAGGTAGGAAGAGCGAAGCACGACCGGCTTCCTGGCTCCGAGCTCCGCCGAGAGTACGACACGGCTCTGATTTTGAAATAGCCATGACGTCAAAACGAAGAGCTATTTTACTCGGTTGGACGCTATTGACGTTAATCTGAGGCGCTGCGTATGTGGGTAGCTTACAGGTGCGTTTGATTGGTAGACAGTGAATTCTAAAGGTCACAGGTGTGTGCGGAGTCTTTGATGTGCTTCTCAGCCAATCAGAGATGGGAATAGAGAGAGAGAGGGAGAGAGGGTGGGGCAGAGTGGGGGGGTTTTGATGCTCCGCCCAAAGCTGCTTCTCATAGTTAGCTTGGAAACAGCCAAATTTAGGGCTAGCAAGACATGAAATACGAACAAGGTTTTGCCAAGGAAGCTTTTAAACACACAGAGCAAAAAAAGGAATGGGATAATAAAAAAAATAAAGAAATACATTACTGTAAAATTACTCACACAACTGGCCTAAATTCACATTTTTACCTGGGCATATGTTGAGACAGGACGGAGTTAAGTCTCCATGTACACCTTGCAGATTAGAGCAGTAAATACAGATTCAGCACCATCAGCATTACAATGGAGGCTTTTACCATGGAGGACATGGGCGAGTTATTTCCTCTGGACTAAGTCAAACAAACCCTCATACGTATAAATGCTCTAACGTTTGGAATGAGCCAGGAATTTCAAAACAGCAGCAAAATAAAGAGCATTGTTCAATCTTTACAACACTGTAAAGTGAAGGGGGTAAAGTTAACCCAGCAGACAAATTTGCTGAATGTCAACAATCAAACTAAAGTAGATTTTTTTTTTTTAAACCGGTTGAATGTTTTATTCATATAAATGCTGATAGTGGAGGGACAAAGAGGAATTTGACTGCGATTTTATTTTAATAACTCGGATGAAGCTTTGATGTATGCAATTTAATTTGAATCTGTCCGCACAACTTGGTTGCAGATTTATGTATACAAATTGGACCTGTTTGTCTTGTGAATTGCTTTCAAATGAGATTTAATTTTGAATCGACACCGGATTAAACAGAATTGAACATAATATCGACCAAAGGCAGCCGCACCGACAGAGAGGTATGCAAAATGGCCAGCAAGAGAAAATTGTCAAGAGCCTGATATGCATGGTTTATATTTGTTAGGAAAAGAAACTCAAGAAAGCAGACTCAAGAAACTCAAGAAAGCAAATTAATGAGTTTAGATGGCAGGTATTTATTAAGTTAAGGTGGCTCTCTGCCCAGACTGCCACTGTGTTTGGGGATGGCGCTGAGATTAAAAAATAAATAAAAAAGATGGCATTTATTTGAGGCCCTGAGACAGTTTTCTGTCCCTTAAAGGCAAGTTCACTCAGTTGAAAGAGAGCTGAGGATCTGTGGTGTGTACAGTATAACTACTGCAGGGAAATGTATCTGTGCACCTGGCTTTTAAAGCTGACGTTTATATATTTCTCAAATTTCCAAAGCGGCTCTGAATTAAACGGTTTTCTGTCATAAACCATTCAAATACATGTATGTGAATCAATATCCATATTCCTGAATGTTAGTCACATTTTATAAAATATAGTTATTATTTTAATAGCTACATTTTTTATAGCTTTTATTTTAACTTGTATTATCACGAGAGACATGTCATCACAGGCGAAACTGTTATTTTTACAGCTAAAGTTCATTTTTTGTCACGTCGTCTTTGTCAAAAGTCACCATTTGAGCCAAATTATGCTAGAAGAAGCTAAAAGCCATTAGACCAAGGTGTCGGTAATGACAGCATTTTTATGAAAATGCTCCGCAGCTGCAGCAGGATCACGGCTGCTGATGTAACCTTCAAAGCCAAACGACATATAGTGAAACAGAAGTGGGAAAGGGTTTCAAATGTGTTTCATTTCAGTTTCAACGAGCAGTGGCCGTGTCAAGGGCTGCCCTGTTATTTTTCACTTTACTGTCAGCATGTTAAAAAAAAAAAGAAAAGAAAAAAGAGACTTGTTGCTGCTGAAAGGCACAGAGGAACTTCACGCACCACCACTTGTGGCAGTAAGACCACCGTCACATGCAGAAACAAAAAAACAGACTTTGTCGTGCATGGAAAGAAGATGTGTGTGTGAGCGTGTGAGCGTGTGTGTAGGAGCCTAGGGCAGCCGCTGAGGCCCTCATTAGTGCTGACTCCGGGGGTGTTAATGTGAAGGCCTCAGCTTCCTGCTGCTGAGGAGGAGGAGAAGGAGGAAGGCTGCATGAATGAAACTTTCTCCAAAATACCTCCAATGGCCTTCAAGTGCGAGTAAACTCTAAATTATGAAAAAGCATGAGTGCACCATAACATTTATTACCTGCCTTGAAGCACCTTTTAGGAAGGATGGAAAAGGCTTTTAGTTGGCATCAAGAGCATTTTTGCTCACTCATTATGATACGCGCCGCAGTTTGGGAAGGTTTTTAAGCAAATGGTTCATCCGCTTAAGGCTAATCATGCAAAAGAGGAAGAAAGAGCTCTTAAAGTTACATCCATTTATCTATCTATCTATCTATCTATCTATCTATCTATCTATCTATCTATCTATCTATCTATCTATCTATCTATCTATCTATCTATCTATCTATCTATCTATCTATCTATCTATCTATCTATCTATCTATCTATCTATCTATCTATCTATCTATCTATCTATCTATCTATCTATCTATCTATCTATCTATCTATCTATCTATCTATCTATCTATCTATCTATCTATCTATCTATCTATCTATCTATCTATCTATCTATCTATCTATCTATCTATCTATCTATCTATCTATCTATCTATCTATCTATCTATCTATCTATCTATCTATCTATCTATCTATCTATCTATCTATCTATCTATCTATCTATCTATCTATCTATCTATCTATCTATCTATCTATCTATCTATCTATCTATCTATCTATCTATCTATCTATCTATCTATCTATCTATCTATCTACCACATTTAAAATATAAACTTGCTTTTCCTGACTCAGCAGTCTGTGATCACTGTGCTCCAAATGTATGAAAACAAAAAACAAAACAAAAAAAATAACTCCACTGGTAAAAACGTTTAAGACTTTAATGCTTCTTTATGAACCAAATCAAAAGTTTGGAGGGGTTTGTTTTAACTCCTTTTTGTTCATAACATATTAACATTTAGGATTAAATGAGAAATTTTGACCTGACCAGATGAAATTTTGGATCTTTTATTTTTTTGTTGTAAATGTTCTGAACTTTTATTGTGGATCTGTGGACGTAGGTGGCCGTCTCATGTAATCTCTTCACACACCCCATTGAGCACACCTCCTCTATTTTCCTTGGCTCCTTCACGGTTTCCTTCCCAGCAGTTGGACCATCTTGTTGCCATCGGGCCTTTCCTTCATCTAACATTCCTCCTCTGTTGCTGGAAAACAAAAATGCTTTTCCGAGAGCGTTTATTTCAGCAGTTTAATATCTACTTAGAACAATTTACATGTCAATTTTGTTTGTTTTTTGGTGTTGCTGTTGTAATGAATGCCACCATTAACTTCAATCCTCACCATAGCTAACAGATATTCAGCAATTTAAACAAACAAATCAAAAAACATATATGAAAATTAAGATTCTCCCAAAATACTCAATGGGGAAACATTTGGCACCCGTTGCCAAAATGATGCAAAACTTAATAGAAATGTGTCCAGGCAGCCATGAAGTTTATTCTTTTACATTAAAACCTGATACGCTTTGTTATTTAACATCGAAAGAATGAAGAAAAAAAGATACAGAAACAGTTTCACTGCCTCTGATTTGATCCAGTTTTCAGCAGTGAGGCTTCAGAAATAAACTTGGAAACTTTTCACAACAAAGTAGCAGATAAAACAAACTAGAAAAAAAAAACTGACAGAAAATTTTTTTTTAAACACGCGCGAATCCACGTGACCTCTCTGACTACTGCCGCGTACTGTGCGTCATCTTTGAAGCTTTTGCGCATTCAGCGCCAGTTCAATTCCAAACGAACAAAATACTTTATTTATGAAAGCAGGTAAAAAAAAAAAGAAAAAGTCAGTAAATTTTGCAAATATTTTCACGTTTCATAAAGTGCCTCATATCAAATCAGTGCAGGATTAAAAACAAAAACAAAAAACAAAATATGTCAAAACTTTAAAAATTACACTCAATCTCACATTCCATAACCTAATAAACTTTCGATTGCTTCTTGTATTTTCCTGTATATTTTATCAATTGTACCCGTTTTGTTATTTTCAAAATAAAAGTTTGGAAACGTTTCTGTTTTGAAGTTAGTGTTTGTGTCTGTGGTCGTAAAGCGGCGACCTGGCGCAAGTAGAGAAACAAACAACAGAAAAAAAATCTCTCTATATATGTTTTTTTCAAATGTTGACATAACTTTATTAAATAAATACATATTTTATGTGAATATTTGTGAAACAGGAATTAACAGAAGGCCTTTTGGTGGTTAGAACTTCATCAATCAAGTCTTTATATTATTCTTTTTCGCTCCATCATTTTTCTCTCTTATTCCAGAGTTACTAGAAATAAAAAAATATATATTTTGAGGCATTTTTAGTTTCGAGCTTGCATTTATTCCTTAATAAAAATGATTCTTTATTTTTTTGTGTCAACATTTGAGCATTATTCTGCAGCATTATAACTCCAGCTTCTGTCTGGAAAAAAAAACAAAAAACATTTTTTTTTTAATTCATTTTTTAAAAACATGCCACTTTAATTAGCGCGGCGCGCGCGCTAACGGGAAGTGGGGGAGGCCCCGGCCTGCACGAGGGAGTAAAACCCTGCGTCGCGGCGTCATGTGCCGCCGGCCCCGGAGCTCTCCCTGCGTCCCGGCAGGTGGCTCCCCGCTCCACGGTAACGCGGCCGGGCAGGAGGAGGGGAGCTGCGGACACACAGCCGCAGAGCCTGCAGCTTCCCTGAGAAACGAGCCCAGATCGCTGCTCTTATTGTGAAGGCCTGTCTGCAGCAGCTGGTGAGAA